CCATGTAAACTCTTTCACCAAATTGGATTTGAGTAGGTGCCTGCAATGAAGAATGTAACACACGATTAATTGAAGTGGGAATTGGAATTTGAGTTGGTGGCTTACCTATGGGCTGCAATATTGGCTCTAAAGTCGCAGCACATTCAACAAATGCACAAGGGATGTTTTCATTCAGATTGGACATTCTGAAGGTTGTGGCTGTGTGATCCACTCCAATTTCCTCCTTGATGAATTCAAGATGCTCCTCAACCACTTTTTCCTCGTGAATTGTTGAAAAGGTGTCCAAGATGTCTTTCTTCCCCTCATCTTTCATGGATTGCATGAACCTGCCAGGGAAGGGTGCATTTGGGGGAACAAAGTTAGAAATAATTAAATTTGGAACAACCTTACTTGAATGGGGTGGTGTAGGAATATTGGGAGGTTGCGGCAAGGGTTGTTCTTCCCTTGCCGTGCCTTGTGCATCCTCCTCCTCTTCGAGCAGTAGCAATTCATCCATGGGCTCATCTTCAACCATTTGTTCTTGAATTTGTTCCATGCATTCTGCATTCTGCCTAAATTGACTGTTCCACTCATCCAACTTTTTTGCTTGATAGAAATCCTCAATTGGTCGCCAAAATGCGTCTTGTTGAAATGGTTGAGCTTCCCTGCCCTGCTCCACAGAATTCAGTTGTTGAATAACTTCCTTATAATAATTTGATATACTTGAATTTGGATGTGAAGATTGAGGGGAAGGCTGTGGTGGTGCATATGAATCCTCATATGGTTGCCAATATGTTTCTTGGTGAGTCTCCTTAGCTTGATTTTGTGAACCCTGCACCAAAGAGTTTAATTCATTAAGAATTTGATTATAATCTATTGACGAATTTGAGTTTGGTTGGGCATATTGAATATGAGGTGGCTCCCAATATCTTTCTTGTTGAACATTTTGAGGTTCCCACCACATAGAAGTTGAATGATCACTCCAATCCGAATTGTAAGTATTGGAAAACACGTTATTCCTTGATTGAAGATCAACTATATCAACGTTTTGCATTTGGGACCTTTCCATGAGCTGTGACAAAAGATAAGCATTATCAAGTGCCATGTTGTGCTTCTAAAATAAACAACATAAAACTAAAAATATATACACACAAACGAAAATAAAACAATCCAAGAGATTAGCAAAGTTGCTAATCCCCGGCAACGGCGCCAAAATTTGATGCGAGAATTATACGCGCACAAATTAAACCCTCTTTTTGACAATTGTAGTATGGATGTAAGTAGGGATCGTTCTGGACCGGGGATTAGGAGGGATTGTTAACCACTTGGATTTGACTTCAAAAACGTAAAAACAATATAAAACACTAAACTAGACTCAAAGAATGTGAAACTAAACGTTAAAACACTAAGACAAACCAAAAGACTCAAAATGCTTTAAAAACACAAACTAAAATGATTTATAACTAAATTGAACAATAAAGTAAAGGGGGATTGAGTTTTGGACGGAATTAAACTAAATGAACAAATTGCAATTAAAACATAATGTAAATATGAAATTGATGAAATGGAATGAATGGATGCTAGCCAAGGGGTTCATCTCCACACATGTTACACTTGCATAATAAAAAGATTTCTAATTGCATTTCAATAAACCATGAATTCTCAACGCTCCGGGTTAATTAGGTCCGCTTAAATTAACCGTCAAGTTTTCCTTAAGTTAATGAATTGGATGATTGCATACGACAACCCAAAGCATTCCTCACAAGTTCCCTACATGAATTGCATAATAGAGATACAAGCAAGAATCATTAAGCATCATGAAAACTATAAGTGTTGACGAGGCATTCGTTACTATGATTGCATGAAACTTATGCCAAGAATTTGTTTAACGCGATTGTTTATAAGCAACCTCCACTACTTGTGAATATAAGTTCATAACTATTACGTGAAACTCACTTATATTCTAGCGTCAAATTCATGCATGAAAATTAAGCGTCGACTCTCAATAAACATACATAAATAGATTATCAATCAAATAGTTAAACAAATTGAATTCACAACTTATGAAACGTAATTAGAAGTACTCAAATCATAATGCAAGCATAAACATATATTTCGAATCACCCCCTAGCTAAAGGGGGTTTAGTTCCTCATACGTACAAAACAAAGAGAATTGAAATTAAACATTGAAATCAAAGAAACGCCTAAACATTCCAACAACTCAAACTTGAATTGTATGAACGTTTAGGCCCTCTTCTCTTCCTCTTCGTTGTAGCATAAGGTCTAGGGATAGTTGGTTGGGGGGATGGAAGTGTGGAATGGAGTGGGGAGTCATGGAAATGGAAGATGGTTTTTGGATTCTAAGGGGAAGTGTTTATTTGTGGTGTGAGAATGGAGAGATGGAATTGAATGAAATGGAAGTGTGGGATGAATTGAATGATGCAAATGAATGAAGTGTGTGTGGTTTATATAGGGAGAGAATGGATGGGAGAGCATGTGAATGATAGCTAGGAGAATGATTAAAGGGGTGTGAATGGTTGGAAATGCATGTGGGTGAATTGGTGGTGCAATGATGAAAGAATAAGTGCATGTGTGTGTTTTGTGTTGGAATGAATGTGGATGCATGATGAAGAGTTAATAAATAATGCATGTAGGGTTAGGAAATAAAATCATAACTTAAAGGGGGGATGATTAAAGGGTGTGTGAATGCATGTGTTGAATTGGTGGTTCAATGATGAAAGAATAAGTGCATGTGTGTGTGAATGGTGGTAGCTAGGGTGAATTATGATAAATGCATGTGGAATAAAGATGGAGAAGGTGGTGAAATGATGAAGTAGGAAGGTGGAAATGCATGTGAGATGTTCTTTGGAGAAAGGTGGATGAATGTGCATGTGAATTAAGTTGTGAAAGCATGTGGAATGTTTTAAATGGTTGAAATGTGTAGATGATTATGAGTATGATAAGTGATAAGTGTATGGTTATGATAAGTGATAAATGAATGATATGTGGTGATAAATGAATGATATGATAAATGAATGATATGTTAAGTAATAAATGAATGATATGTGGTGAGTGATAAGTGAATAGTTTGATAATTGATAAATGAATGATATGCTAAGTGATGATAAGTAATGATAGGTTAAGTGATAAATGAATGATATGTTAAGTGATGATAAGTAATGATAGGTGGTTATGATAGTTTGGTCTTTAATTTCGTCCATTCATTTTGCTCCAAATATAAGCTATCCAATCCAAGTCCGATTTTGCTCCAAAATGCTCCAAAAGGCATCCTTTTGCATACCTTGCCCTTAGAACCTGAAAACACACAAAAGAAGCATAAAGGACTAAAATAACTAGAGAAACATAACGTAAATGCACGAGAACAAGCCTTTTAAGTCGCATGAATATGCTTCTATCATTACGCAATAGAAAAGACCCTTCAGAATCAGCACACAATTGCCCTGCGCAAAACCTCTCAAACATCTTGAGATTTTTTCCTTTTCCTTTCCTGCTAACACATCTTCAGTTTGGATAAACAGCACTGTGGAAGCACCCGGCGAGCATCTTCAGTTTGGATAAACAGCACTGCTGCCGCAGAATCAATCGACCGAGGAGCACCTTCAGTTTGGATAAACAGCACTGCGTCGAGGTCGACCGATTATCTATCCAAGTCTCGGCCGAGAAGGGTTTTCGAACTCTTGTTGGTAGAGGTCATCCTACTAAGCCTTTCCAGCATAGTTAGGTGTTACGAATTGCATTGTTCGGCGCATTGGACGCCGAGTGGTTTTATGATTGGATACTCGCAAGTAAGCTTCAGGGTTCGGCATTCCGACGGCCGAACTACGTTTACCATTAAGACATACATCACATTCGAGTACTTGTGCCCATATAGTTTGGTCTCGATTCGGCGTGCTTATACTCTTACGAATATAATCACAGTGACCGAATCAGGGTCCGACGACTTGTGAACTCCGTAGAATTAGTAGCCTTGTCTTCAGGCTATAGAACCCAGAGGCCGAGAGCGTTCCTTCCTCGGTCGCAATCGCAAAACACAGAAGTCAACAACGCACCCAACGCGACAACATCACATTTTACTCCTCGGCCGACGAGTTGGCACACCCCGCATTCAACCGAAGGACGTAGTTAGCTCATTAGTTACTCGGCCTGCGCGCCACGTAGGTTTTGTAATTTTTGTAGTCAACAACAATATAGAGAGTAGCTCAACCTCTTATAAGATATGCAAGATCCTTCCTCCCATCAATGTGAGACTCATTCTCAATTGATTTTATGGTAGAACTTCAACTTTCTTCATGGTATCAAAGTAGGTTGTCCCATGTGTAAAGCCAAACGGCCACATATGCTCCACGTCATCCTGTTGTGTTGTTCATGTGTTAGGCTCGAAAATTCGTCACACATGAGGAGAATAAGTCCCACATTGATGGCAGGAGGGACTTTGCATGGACTTATAAGAGATTGAATTACTTCTTATATTACCAATTAGTTTTATGATGAAACTTCAACTTTCTTTTCCAGCTTTGAATGAGAAATAAATCTACGAGCCTTCCTTGCATTTGCTGAAAATTGTCACTTTCTACTCTTTGCTTGTATCAACCTGGCCGATCAAGATAATATTAAACTATAAGTTATCAAGACATTAATTATAATAATGACTTTCTTGACACGGCACATTTATAAACTTTCCGTTATTGTAGCATTTAATGCCAACGATTCAAGGTTTTGTATAAGTTTTTGTTCACACAGTTGCCAAAATAATAATTTAGTGTCATGTAAGTCGTTCTCTGTACACAACAAATTTCTTTTTGAAGTACAATCATCTAAAACATGAACCTTAGCTAGGAGTTAACACCACAAGAATATTCCTTAAATATGTTCTCAGAAGTTCGAGTTCCTGAATTCTATAAATTAAAATTGCTTGTAATCAAGTAATTTCATCAAAGCAATTTGAAAGTGAGCCAGTCTTTCTTTTCTTAAACATTGTCTTCTTTAATTTGGTCACAAAGATGTATGTGACAAGGCCTCTGTCTGTGTATAAAAGTTCTCCCGAGTCACTGTCTCTTCCACCTCCAGAGGGCCCAAATTCTGGCTGTCTTGTACTCCATGACGACGATTCAATTGAGATAAACTGTTGCGGATGCGAGGACGACGAGGTTAAAGGTTTGCCTTTCCCTCAGAACATGGATCTAACCGTTGGATATGGCTCAGATAACGATGATGTTGCCTTCATTCCAGTGCTTGATCAACCCTTGTCTTCCAATAGATACCATGTCATACTTCGAAGAGGCCGCCATAAAGGGTACGCACATATGTATATGTATAAACATCCATACATATTAAGTGTTACTTTTACATGGAAAAATTTATATTAGAACTCATTTGATTTGCAGGAAAGCATGCACAAATACGAGGGAAGAGGATACGGATATTGGCTGTTTCGGAGGTAAAAGTATACCAGATGCTGAACCAAAACCATTGGATCCGTCAGACATATATCAACAAATTGAGATAGTTCATTGGGAGGGAGAAACAAATCGTTTTTTTGCCAAGTCTGTTGATCCAGATGGTTTGCCTCCTTACTTCTTGAGGAGGAAAGGGTGGAACGTGAGAATGAGCACACCGTATCGTTACCAATTGCGTGAAGCCTCGGGACTCAACTCTTCGCTACGAGCTAGTCTTCCTGGGTTCGATTTTCCAATATCACATGACTGCTCTGAAGTTGTGTGTGTTGGTAAGTGGTATTGTCCTTTCATGTTTGTTAAGGAAGGAGGGGTGAAGCTGAAGGACCAAGTGAAAAATTGTATGTACTACGAAATTAAACTTGAGCAAAGATGGGAAAGGATTTTCGACAACGTTAATGAGAACGCCGAAGGAAAAAAGAATCCTGCTGTGTTTGTGGATGCTTTTGTTCAAAAAGAGGTGGTTTATGTGGGTGGACAGGAGGCTGTTTGGGATGAAAGAAATGTGAGTGCGGGTGATATGTTCGTGTGGTTTAAGAGTTTTCAGGGGGTGGGAGGGGAAACAAGTGTTGGAATGAGCATGAAAGTTTTTGAAAGAACGAAATGGGAGCAAGAAAGAGTTGGATGGATTGGTGGGGATGAAAGGCAAGTGAGGGTGGAGAGAGAGGAAGAGTTTAGGGGGACGGGTGGTGTCGGGTGGAATAGGTTTAGTAGTTATGTGTTGGTAGAGACGTTTGTACTGAAGAGAATGTCTACGACTGGAAGCGCAGCAGTAATACTCTCATATGATTTCAAGCACACTCACCAGATTAGGAGCAAATGGGAATGACAAAAATTTGGTATTGAGTATGGTTTTCAGACACTTGATCATCATATTTGGGGTCGAAAACTCCAATTTGTACTGTTTTTGGTATTACACTAGTCATCGTTTTAAGTACATTACTCTCCACTGATAAATGGGACCTTCGTACAGTTTTAATTCATGGATTGCAGTACTTTTTTTTTCAAGCTCAGGCCTTGCCAGTGTTGTTGCTACATACGCAAAAAGGCATTAAGCTTAAAAGAAATCTTAAGTTCCAGTTTACAATGATTATGGAATCTTCGAACCTTCGCGGTGTATGCTACAATTCCAACTTAATTAGCTTAAGGACAAATAAAATTTTAGTTGATTTACTTAGAGTACAACGATGCCAACAAGGACATCGGAAATTCTTTAAGCCGGACAATATTGCTTAATTAATCGCGGAGTCTTAATCATTATGGTAACCATGCAACAACCCTAATGTGATCGCGAATTTCAATACTGTCTTTGACGACTATCAGGAAGAGCTGCTCAATTGCTTGTCATCTACTCTCGACCCCAGCCACGAAGTTAGCTCGTTCGCAGAAGCTTCTCTAAATCAGGCTTCTCTGCAACCAGGTAGTCCCCCACCTAAAAACGCCCATCTTTCAATTTTGATTTTGTTTCAATTCTTAATGCTGACTGAACCTTTTTGTTGCTTTGATTTTGTTTGGTAATTTTTTTTTTTTTTTTAACAAGGATGATAATGGATTAGGCGAGTCGAGCTACGTAAGGCTTGGTCGTCGGACTACAATAGTAGAAACCATACTCTTTAAACCCACACAATGCGGAAAGAAAGAACCAAACCCAGGATTTACCGTCACCTACAAGTAGACCACTTTCTTCCTTCTCAGAGCAATGAGAAAAGGCTAACTCCTTTATAGAACGATGCCCCCACCCACCCCCCCCCCCCGGGGCGTGCGTCCCCTATCTCCGAATTTATTAAATAAATAAAAGTAAACAATACAAGCTGGGAGACGGAGCCAAAACCCGCTAAGGGAAAAACAAAGAAACATCGACAAAAACAAACAAGAAGATATAACTCAAATAATTGAGAAGAAATTGATAGGTGCCTTTGTTTTTGTTTTGGTGTAGAATTTATCATGGTAAATGTTTAGTTTTGAGATTCAGGTATTCTACTTTCAACCAAATAGCTTCAATTTCATTTTGCCCGTATTTTTTTGTTAACTGTTAATTGATGACGCGATAAATGTAAATCTTACATATTTACTACGTGGTTATGAAATTTGTGTCATATGGCAAAAACGAAATAAAAATGAAATTCAAGTCATCTACTTTCTTCCCATCACTTTTCTCCCCGGCGGGTGAAGAATATGTCTCAGGAAAATCATCGTACGGTACAAAGTTATCATCGTACTCTTAAGTAGCGTAAAAAATGCCGGATTCAGCCGATATCCGCTAGTAAACTTAGGAAAATCAAAATAACACATCCTGCAAATTTTGCTCTCCATATTATAAAGAAGCAATCTTGGCGGTCTGATGTTGTAATATCCTGGTGCATCAGGAGGTAGTTGTACCACAATCGCTAGTTCACCTGTGTGGATTTTACATACAGGATGAACACGCCAGCCGCCATGACCAAGGTGTCCCGTGATCTCCATCAACATTAAGATAGTCTCTTCGATCCACATATGGTTCGTGTAGTCCTTCAATTTCCACAAATGGTGAAGTCCATACAACGATCAGGGAGCGGGATCACTCTGAATTTCTAGTCTCCAACATCAAATACCACTATAACATTTTTCCTTTCATGCATCCAATGGATGGCCCCTTGGAAACAAACGCTTCTCGCGAACGTACAATAAAAAATAAAAAATAAATCAAAAGGAAGATTACCAAGGTTTGCTTCTGCTAATGGCCTCCATGATGAAATATTTGTCCCCAATGTGAAAATATGAAACATGACATTATTATTCCAAGATACTTGGACAACATTGTACTAGTTTGCAATCGGATTAAACCCAAAGTGATATGTAACGCGGAGTGTATCTGTACGAGGGAGTTTGATGGACTCTCGTGTAGTAGGGTTAAACATAAGGACAGGGATCGAACAACTGGATGCACAGACCAGGCAGGTTGATGCTCTGATGTACAACCGGGGGAGTACCGCACGCAGAATTGTACGAAAGACGGGTGACAGGCGTTGGTTTCCCTTGTTCATCGATTTGCGAGGAGAAGAAGAAGCCATCCCAATACCAGAAGAGGAGGTTAGTGTTAGACGAGGTCAGTATGCTGAGGAAATCTCCGCAACTTGAGGAGTTTGACTTGGATCAAACTCTTATCCTCCCAGCTGTTCCCAGTTTCTAGGACTTGTTTGTTTGATTGGTTTTTTGCGGTAATCTAAACATGTGGATGTAATCTTCTCTTTGGTTTTCTGTTTGTATTTTATTTTTCAAACGCTCCTTGTATCTAGGTTTTTCAAACTCAAACTGTAATCATGAAAGTATTATAAATACATGCATCCCATAATTATTAGGGTATGCAATTATAGTGAAACACTGAGTTAGTAAGTTTTACAGCTAGTAGTATTTTTCTTGTTCCGGCGAGAGTTGACAAGGGAATGGCTACAGATGAGAGAGGACCAAGGCTTGCATACGCGCGTAGAGCACATCAGGACCATAAAATTAAACCCCCAAATGTTATAAAATAAAATAAAATAAAATAAAAACTCAAGACATAACTTATTCACAATTCCAAAGTCACAACCAAAACATATAAAAATGCCAAAAGATTGTATCAAGACCGAAGCAAAGAAGAAAACAAACTTACACCCTTAATTACCCAGCAACAAAACCCACGAAAGCTGAATTTGCGGAAACTGAAAACAAAAAGGGGTTAGAGAGACAAATATAAAACCCCAAACTACAAAATGAACACTCAAAATAAGAAAGAAAGCAAATTTTCTTGGAGACAGATTCTCTGTCCTTTTATTTTTCATGCTTTTCTATTTTATGTGATCACGGTTAAACCACGTCAACATTATATATATATTTATAAGGATAATAAGATAAAAAATAATAATAATATAAAATATTAACGTGGTTTAACCGTGATCACACAAACAGAAAGGCACAGAAAATACGAGGACAAAGAATCTACCTCCAATTTTCTTGGTATGCTAAAAGGAGAAAATATTAAAAAATAAAAACCAAACACACCAAACCAGCTTTTCATATTTTTTAATCATTTTTTTCTTTCTAACCAATTTTTTTATCATTTTTATTCTTTTTTGTGTTACAAATCATCTGCTTGTGTTTAACTCTTGACATTTTTTAATCTTATTTTTTTATCTAACAGCCCATTACTTTATCATTTTTAATCTGTTTTTGTGCCATAAACCTTCCGTGTATCTTTAGAAAAGTAAGAACAGGGTCAAAGAGCACAACCAACCACCAACCAAAAGGAAGTCAGATAGACAGAAGAAAAAGGTAAACCATATTCCCTAGAAAACACAAAACGCAAGCACGGGAACAAAAATGAGAGAGCGTCAAAGTGGCCAATTCACCATACAACCCCACTAAAGCCCAAAAAACATGAACAGAATGAGGGGTAAAATCGGGTGGGCACTGTTATTGAATAGTACCCATCCACGGGGTTTTTGAAGAGTAGAATGTTTTCAGTATGTTGTTTTGATTTCTATCCGGACTGAATTATCAGAGCTTAAATATCAGCACTTCCACTTGATCAAACTGATAATAGAGAAAATTTTTTATTATTACAGAAATATTAATGATATATCACATGTTTTTACATAAATGATAAAAAAATTTATTCTTTAAGTTATTAACTTTTTAACACATAAATCCCACCATTTGCATAATAACACGTAATGTACCACCTGATGTGCCGATCATATTAAAAAATCTCTGCATGCTTCTAGTAGAGCTAGAGGAATGGGACACGTGGCATGCTCAAGTCCCATCCACCTGTCTAAGCGTAGTTTATGAAAAGAGGATTGAGCAAATCTCAATCCTCTAATCTCTTATCCTTCGTCACTCATGTACGAGTAATGTCAAGGAAACTAAGTTTATAAATAAAATTTTAAAAATTATGGAAGTTAATAATTAGTTTATTACTTAAACATTAATGAACGTGTTCATTTTTATTGATGATACATTATTTAATTTGCAAATTTTGTTTCCACATTTAATTTTCCTAGCATTACTCATCTTGCACAGGCACACATCATATATTCCTGCAGGGAAGAGGATCCTCTTCGGATTCACTTTGTGGGGATCTTAAGGATCCTTACATCCTAACCGTTCAGCGTCCATTGTGCGGTCAGTTTGTACAATGAATGGCTAAGATCACAATTTGAATCGAGGATCCAAATCCTTCCCGCAGTGCCAGTCTCCTTTGTCCCGGAAAATTGGGTTTGTACTGGACTGTGGTAAGTGATAATTGCGTGACCCGGTCCGCAGGCAATAATTCATCAAAGTAGTGAATCTAGTGATCATAATTTATGAAGGAATGGTAGAGTAAGAATTGAACAGCCAGCTTAAGTGGGCGGCAATTAGATGTATGCACACGGCTGGTGTCCAGAATTATTTTTTTTCGTTTCATTTGTTTGCTGCTGTGTAGTTCCGGTGAGTTTTGGAGGCCTGGTATAAAAGAAAACATAAAGCTATTATTCCTTATTTTTTATTTAACTAAAGATAATAATACATCTTCCGCCAAACTAGTACGATATTAATTCGTTTAAATCTGGTATGACTCTCTGCTGCTTCTCTGTCTTCGGTTCAAGTTCAACGCAGCCACCATCTATCGCCACGATCACTGTCCGAGCTGAAAGAACAGAACTTAAACAGCAGCACTTCCACTTGTTCATCAAACTGCTTATGGAGTTGTTTGCTTCTTGGTGGAGCTAGACGACTGCGGCAAATCGGACAAGTGGCATGCTTAAATCCAGTCCATTTGTCCAAGCATGGTTTATGAAAGAGATGAGCACACCTCAATTCTTTAATCTCTTCTCCTTCCTCAATTTTGCAGAGACACACAGCGCATTCCGCAGTACTAGTCTCCGAATTCGCCCCGGGATTGGGTTTGTACTGGACTGTGGAAAGTGATATTTCTGTGGCTTGGTCTGCAGGCAATAATTCGTCAAAATAGTGATCATAATGTTTGGAGAAGGAATGGTAAACCACGAAGTTGAGCAGCCAGCTGAGGTGGGTGAAAGCTAGATGTATGTACTTGTACATGGTCCGAATAATTGTAGAAGGAGAATTGACAGAGTTGAGGGATTTAAATTTCCACATGGGAGCTGTTGGGTGGGATTATGAGGGCCAAGTATGAAGGTATTTATAGGATTCGACATGGGAAAATAATAGAGGAAGGCAGAGCCATGCAATCAAATTTCGGCTAATGTCAATGATTAATGGTGAGAACGAAAGTAATTTATGCACACTATTTTTCACTTTTTGTGAACTGCTAAAAATTTTGAAGTACAAGCAAAAAAGTAAGTATATTCAAAACAAATAGGAAATTAATCATAAACCTTAGAAAATTAGGAAAACAATCCGAATCTTATTAGAAAATAGAAAAAGAATCATAATCCCTTATCCTACAACAAAATTCTAGTACGTATGTATGTCAAAATACTCTATTAACTAATATATTTTTCAACATAAACTCATTTTTTTAACCATTAGATTGAAGAATATAAATATGAATCAATGGTCAAAATTAAAAATTATATTCAGAAGGTTAAAAAAAAAAAAAGTGTGCAAAAACTATTTCCCTCCTGGCTTTCTAGCCAAAACGTTCCTGAGATTTACATAATACATTATTTTGGTCCCTAAGATTGAAAATTAATAGAAATTGTCCTTGAGATTGTTTACCATCCATTATTTTGGTCATTCCGTTAAAAACTCCATTAAGTGTCCCTGAGCTCTTGGCCGGAAGTTTGGGCAATTTTCAAAGCTTCGTAACTCAATCGTTTCTTAACAAATTTGATCCATAATATATCAAAATGAAGATAGGAAAGTGTAGAACAAGATTGTACCTATTTGGAAGCCCAATGGTTGCCGAAGATGGTAAAAAAATAGCCTAAAAGGTGATTGGTCTGCGGGAAAACTGGAAAACTCGCCGGAAACTGGGTAAATTTTAAACGTTCCTAACTTCTTCAATACTCAACGAAATCGAGTGATTCAAAAACAAAAATCATACTTCTGTACAAGAAAAAGAGAATGATACCTTTCTCGATGGCTATATCACCATGTTTTGTCCGCAAAAAAGGCTTGAAAGTGGCTGTCTTGGTCTCAAGTCAGCCAATTTTGAGCCATTTTCCAGCCAAACCACAACAAATTAGCCATCGAGAAATGTACCATTCTCTTCATCTTGTCGAGAAGTATAATTTTTATTTTTGAATCACTCGATTTCGTTGAGTATTGAAGAAGTTCTGAACGTTTACAGTGTACCCAATTTCCAGCGACTTTTTCAGTTTGCCCATAGACCAGTCACCTTTCAGGCTATTTTTCGGCCATCTCTGGCAACCATTGGGCTTCCAAATAGGTACCATCTTGTTCTACACTTTCCTATCTTCATTTTGATATATTATGGGTCGAATTTGGTTAAGAAACGATTGAGTTACGAAGCTTTGAAAATTGCTCAAACTTCTGACCAAGTGCTCATGGACACTTAACGGAATAACAAAAATAATGAATGGTGCACAATTATTGATTTTCAATTTTTGAAACCAAAATAATGTGTTATACAGATTTCATGAACCATTTTGACTAAAAATGAATATACTGAACAATATCATGTGCTCAACCAACACAAAATACTCCAGTATGGCAATCAATGATGTGACAACAAACTAAAACGACAACATACGTACGACTTTGTCCTATGATTTAGACTATTGTGTCACTGTAATGCATTCACAAAATAAACGACTAAATTAAGGAGTTTTGGAATGTAATAATTTAACAACAATACTTGACTACTAAAAAATAATAGAAATTCCTAATCAAAATTTCTCAAAATCGTTTGTTGTTAATTTATAAAACTTCGTATTTATAATCAGAACCGTTCATATTCTAAATGACCCTATAAAGATCGCCTATGCAAAAAGTCATTTAAACTAAGATCGTTTAATCATCAAACTATTAAAAACAAATGAATAGTATTGGTAAAAGCACTACGAACCGTCTATGTATTTGCTACGATAGATTGAATAAACGATCTTAAGTTTAATTTATTTTTTGCAAAGATAATCTTTACAGTGTGATTCATAATATAAACAGTTTTGATAATAAGCATAAAACTTTGTGATTAAAACATTAAGAGTTTGAGTAAGAGTTCTTATATATTCTTGAGTAACCAAGTATTGTTCATAATTTAATCTTAGTAGCCACCGGGTGGACCCAATAGGACAAGTCTTGCATGTCCCAGTCCTTTAAATAGTTCCTCCGATCGTATGGTTCGAAAAGAGGGATTTGTATGTGGTTATAATTAATTGACTATTTCTTATATGGTCGGTTGGAATTCAAACTTCTTTATTGTATCAAATTAGATTGTCTTATATGTGAAGTTAAATATCACACGCGTTTTATGTTATTTTATTGTATTGTCGATGTGTTAAGCTTGAAAAGTTATCATGTATGAGGGCAAGGTTCTAAAAGATCCTAAGCATTAATCGAGCGGTGGATTAGACCCTAACGCCTAGGCGCCTAGACGGGGCCTAAGAGGACAAGACAAATTTAAGTTAAATTTATTATATATATTGTATAAGTAATGCTTGTTTATGTTTTAAGAAAAAATACATAATTGTATTGAGATATATAAATTGAAAAATAGAATGACATAAAAATTATGAAGAATTATAACACATATAGGAAAAATGGAGGACATGCATATAGTGAGTATTCATCTGTGTATTTAACAAGTTTCTTACAATTTGTTAAAAAAATAAAATGCAAAATGAAAGTTATCTATTTTCTATTTAAATGAGTGTCTGCAACCTTGGTGCATGCCTAGGCAAACACTTAGGTGGGTTGGACAGACACCTAAACAGGTATAGACACCCTTTCTTAATTTTCAAATACCTAGGGATTTATCGATGTTGTGGCCAGCTAGCCTAGCCCCTACGTGGAGATTTTTAAAACAATGCATGAAAGGGCTTGTTGAGAGTATTAATTCTATATTGGAAAAAGAAGGAATCTTGCATGTGTTTATAAATAATGAATGACTCCCATTTGGCCAATTAGTTTTATATTGAACCCCAACTTCTTCACAATCTTATTGACTTGAAGCAAGTCCAACCCACTAAGGCAATAATTGCCTAGACAATTGGACAAGGCAAATACCATCTTAGTGAATAGTAATTGCTCGAATGCATTATTGCCTCATAAAATATATTGCCCCGTCAATTGATTTTTTTTAATAATAATAGTAAACAATATTATTTTATTATTAATTTTTTTCTTTCTTTCTCCTACAAACCTCTTATCTCTCTCTCTCTCTCTCTCTCTCTCTCTCTGTGGAAACATCTTTTTCTCCTCAAGAAAAGAAAAAAGAAAAAAAAAAAAGATAATCTTAAAAAGAGGAATTTGTATGAATAGAAAATACAAATTATGTGGTATATCAATGACATGGTTGATATGTCTACTTTTATGGTATAGTGTTTTGAGTATGTTGTTTTGATTACTATCCGACCCGAATGGTCAGAACTTAAATAGCAGCACTTCCACTTGATCAAACCGATGATGGGTTAGTGCTTTGAAGGATGATTTTCCACCTTCCTGCTGATCTCTTTATCCTTTCATGCTCTCCTATTTGAACGATTACAGTTAAGCTACATCAATATCTTATATTGATTTTTTTTTATAGAGATAATAAGACAAAAAATAAGTGTAAGAGGAGGGAATGGAAGGAAACGAGAATAGAAAGGTAAAGAATTCTCCTTCTAATGCGGTGGAGCTAGATGACTGCGGCAAATGGGACATGTGGCATGCTTATCCTGTCCAGCTTTTCAAAGCATAGTTTATGAAAAAAGAGGATGGAGCAAAATAGATGTCAAATCCTGTTCATCTGATGGAATGTTTAGGCATATATAGATATCTATTCATACGTGTACAATATGATTTGATTGACAACAATAAGTCCATTAAGTGACGAGATGTTTTATTGAATATAGACTGAGATTTTTCAAAGCGCACTCTTTTGCTATCTAAAAAACTTGTTTAATAATGGAACCCCGAAGTTTGAATCCAAGATTCGCCATTGCTGCTCATGCAATGCAAAATTAAGTGGAAAAACGAAAAAAACTAATATGAGAGTTTATGGTCGGAGACTAAACATACATAAAGTTCAAAGGCTTTTCTACCGTTCATCCTCGTTTACAAATACATGGTACACCACACGCATACAAGTTCTTTCGCCAAAATAGATGGAGTACTACATTAATTTGACAGTAGAATTGGAAGACATAATTAAACGTTTGACTTTAGATGAACAGATCTTTGCAAACAAGGGATCACTCGTGCATATATAATTACTCATTTAAATCTGGCATGGCTCTCTCTGCTGCTTCTCTCTCTTCTTTTCAAGTTCAACGCAGCCACCATCTATCGCCACGATCACTATCCGAGCTGAAAGAACAAAACTTAAACACCAACACTTCCACTTGTTCATCTAACTGCCGATGGAGTTGTGTGCTTCTCGGTGGAGCTAGACGACTGCGGCAAATCGGACAATTGGCATGCTTAAATCCAGTCCACCAGTCCAAGCATGGTTTATGAAAGAGATGAGCACATCTCAGTTCTCTAATCTCTTCTCCTTCCTCGATTTTGCATAGACACACAGCACATTCCGCGGTACTAGTCTCCGAATTCGCCTCGGGACTGGGTTTATACTGGACTGTGGTAAGTGATATGTCTGTGGCTTCGTCAAAATAGTGATCATAATGTTTGGAGAAGGAATGGTAGAGCAAGAAGTTGAACAGCCAGCTGAAGTGGGTGAAAGTTAGATGTATGTACTTCCACATGGTTTGCATAATTGTAATAGGAGAGTTGAGAGAGTTGAGAGATTTAAATTTCCAGATTGGAGTTGTTGGGTGGGATTATGAGGGCCAAGTATGAAGGTATTTATAGGATTGGACATGGGAAAATGAGAAATAAGCAGAGCCATGCAATCAAAATTAGGCTAATGTCACTTATCAGTACTTAGAACCAAAATGATTTCTGCACATTATTTTTCATTTTTTGTAAACTGCTCAAAAATTTAAAGTACAAGCAAACAAGAAAATAAATCTAAACAAATAGGAAATTAATCCTAAACCTTAAAAAATTGGGAAAGCAGCCCTAATCTCATTAGAAAAAAGGAAAACAATCATAATCCTTATCTCACTACAAAATCATAGTACATATATGTCAAAAATACCGTATTAACTAATATATTTTTCAACGTACTCTTTTTTTTTTTTTTTTTTAAGAAAAACTAATAAAAATTGTTTGAAAACTTTGAGTTTTAACGATAAGAACAAAATAAAGGGTAAAATGAATAGTACCAATATTGAATTTTTAGTGTAAAAATATAATTTTTTGTTAAAATAAACAGTACCAAGAATTTTTCGTTAAAATTCGTTTTTTTTTTTTTTTTTTTATCCACTAGATTGAAGAATATAAACAAGAATCAATGGATATGTGCTTAACTAACAACAAATGCTCAATTATGGCAATCATGATGTGACAACACATTAAAACGACAATGTATTATGTATAAGTTTGTGATTTAGCCTATTGTATCACTGTAATGCACGTAGGACGCGTGATTCACAATATCAACGACAACATTAAGGAGTTCTGAAATGTAATAATTGTAGAAAGAAATTCAAAAGCAAAACATTTTCGTGCGAAAGAAGTTATAAACAGGAAATGGATCATCTTCGGATTTTTTAATCCTAATATATTAAATCAGAGAATTTATATTATTGAAATTTGATCTAACGGTTGAAGTTATTATAATTTTTAAAGTGGGTCCCTATTTGTAGCCGTTGGATCAAATTTCAATAACACCGATTCCTTGATTTGGTGAAGATAATCCCTTTCCTTGTAAACCGACCAGGAGGACCCAATTGGGAGAAGTCTTCGTGCATGCAGGATTTGGATCCTCTCCGGATCCTCTCTCTAGGGATCCCAAGGATCAAGACACAAAGACCGTTCATCAAAGATCGTGCAGCCATAATTAAATGGTTTTTTGCGCAAAACGAGATTGTTTTACTTTTAAAAATATAAAAATTATTTAATTCTGGCCGCACAATCTTTGATGAATGGTCTTTATACCTTGATCCCTGAGATCTCCAGGGAAGGGATATGGAAAGGATCCAAATTTGTGCATGCAAATGCATGCGTGTCCCAGTCCAAATTTGGGTTTGGTATTTTTGGGTCTATATATATTAAATTGCTCCTTCAATCATACGGTCACAATCTTATTGACTTCACTTAATTTCTTTTTCCATGTAATTATATTTCTTCTTTTTATTAAACGTTTCAAAATTCAGTAGGGGACTTATAGTTTAGTTAATTAAAAACATTCACCTTTACATCTGATATTCTAAGTTACAAGGGGAAATTTTATTTAAATCCATGTAACATATTTCTACACTCAACTTACTATTTACATTCATTTGATTTTTAACTAAACTATTAATATCTCTTTAAATCCTAATATACCCTCATAAACCCAATTCAATATGTGAATTTATTTTTACATCTATTTGATTTTTAACTCTATTTTTTGCTTGTATGTACTACTATCAAGACACGTTGCTTTACTTTTTAACTCATCTTGATTTGGATTGGATTCTCTTGTTCATTCCAGGAGTTCAATGTGCTAGACTATGAGGTAAAATAGACAATTAACATTTAAAATTTTAAATTAGATGGAAAAAGAGGTTACATAGGTTTAAATAAAATTTCTCAATTACAAATAAACTTTTTCCAATATCGCTTGTTTTAGAGGAAAAGCCACAAAATTTAAACTGAAGTAAGAAGTTGTAACACCTCAAAGTGGCGCTGTGATGACTTGAAACAGTAAAAACTGCTCAAACAAATAGCTGCAGAACTATTTTCATATGACTTAAAACACTGATGACTTGAAACAGTAAAAACCGCCGAAACAAACAGCTGCAGAACCATTTTTATATGTGTAACGTATTGTATATCTTGCTCCGCTCCAAATCAAATAAATAAAAAGGGAAATTCTGGTTTCAATCGATCACGGATCAGCGGCTATGTGCGTGGCTCTTTTTCCTCCGGTAATCGGCATTCTTCAGAGTCGGTACAATTGATGCCTGAGCTTTCCTGTGCATCATGTCCATTCTCATGCTCTCAGTTTTCTCAATTTCTGAATACGCATTTCTTTTGTTCAAAAACCTCAGTTTTGATTTCAGAGTCCCTAACAACTTGATTAGGCTCCTCATCACCATGCTTGAACCTCCAATCTGATCAAGGAAAAGAGACATATGTGAGGTTTTATTTTATTTTTGGGTTTAAACGCGTTCTTGAATGTTTAGATGATTTTTTAGCGTAAGGTACACACATTCAATGAAAATGAAAATAACATACCAATTAAACGCAGCCGGACGTACTACTCCGAGGAAGGATTGGAAGAGAGCCCGGCTGGTCGGGTTTAAACCAGTTTGATCAAAGGCTTGAGAAATCATATTAATTAAGCAGATGTATTAATATGAGTGTTAGAGGGCTGGCTATGCATAATTATGTATAAACAATGCAATAATCCCATAATTAGCTGGAGTCACGAGAGTGAATCTTGTGTTGGATACAGCCTTGGCTGAAGACGATTTGATTAAGGAAATCATATGAGCAATGCAATAATTATTGATTCTAATCGTAAATTATTAAATTTAAATTAGCCACCCATAATGAGCTCTTATTGTTAATCAAGACTTTCAGGGTTAATTATAAATTTCACCAACTAGTGTAATTATTTTCATTTGTAAGTAAGAAGTTTTAAGTCACTAACTAGTGCTATGTATCATTTTCATATGTGAGTGAGAAGTTTTGTGTTTAACTTATGAATGAAGATAGTTATGACTTTCCTATTGTGTGACCTAGACCGCGATCCTCTTCGGGTCTTTGAGTACAGAGCCGATGGACCCAAAAATCAAGCCACTTCATTTATATCATGCAGCCTCTATTAACACATGGCCCACCGTTCACAAAATCAAGACCTTGAATGCCTCGGATCTCTCTCTTAAACGATTTGAATTTTCTAATGGACACAAAGATTCCGAAAAAATCTCAATTCCAATCGCTCTTCATTTAAAATAGGATACAGTTGTATAAAAATATTATAAATCCCATGAACAATATCCTATTTCAGTGGTTGGTTCCGTGAAGATGCAAACGTTTTGTCAATTACCCTACAAGGCTGCGATCTGTCAACAGACGTCGTTACATAGAAGAAATTTTTAATTATGACGGAAATATAGATGATATATCATGTATTTTTATGTAAATGATAAAATATTTTATTTTTTAAATTATTTATTTTTTAATATACATATCTCATTATTTATATAACAACACATAATCTACCATAAAAACTCTCGTTAAGTTAAGTAGATAGTACCATTTCTCGCGGGAGTAGGACAGATGACTTGTGCAATTATTTTCGGCTGCTTTGACTCGGTCAAGTTTGTCGATAAAGTTATACAAAATAGGTTGTTGAGGTAGTGAAATCATTGCATACATGAGTGGCATGAGAGTTGTGATACGCGTGGGAACGTTTTTGCGCCGCTCTCAAAACATTAAGGTCCACGAATTCCCCATAAAAAAAACAAGAAGTAAGAAAAAGAAGTCCGTGAATATTCAACACACAAAGACAATTTCTTCTTTTCCTCGATCGTTTGTGCATAAAAAAAAGTAAGAAAAAGAAGTCCGTGAATATTCAACACACAAAGACAATTTCTTCTTTTCCTCGATCGTTTGTGCAATTGGTCTTGTGCCACACAGGCACATAGTACATACAGTGATACAGAAGAAAATTATAAAGGAGATTCTTTTGAAAATAACATTTTATAAATTATTTGTCATCTTATATTTTTAATATAATATTTATAACATTGGTACAATAATTAACATTAAACTATACGATAATCATAAAGAATCCCACTTTAGGAGAAAATATAAGGTGCGACATGCTTTGATAATTCCTCCTACTTATTATTCATTCAATTTCCCAACTCTTTAATTTTTATATATGTTTATATAGTTTGATTGTAATATTGTTTTGTAATTTTATTTTTATTCTTTAGCTAAAAGAAGGAAAAAAAATTCTGGGAATGTGCATAGTTGAGACACTGATCGGGACGTTTGTATTGACTCTTATATTGCAGTGTTAATTAAAACTTGATCCCTAATCAACCCAAACATATTTACTTATTTTTGTCTCTCTTAATTTCTCGATCTCATCTAATTAAACGTTTATAATTTGAACGATAGCATTGTTGACATTTTCCCCCTCAATTTTGGAAAAATGCAATTTTCCAAAGAAAATGTTTAGGTGGTGAGATACAGTAGAAGATGAATTCGTATTAGATTGTCCAACAAAAAAATTACTTTTACTCTATATTTTGAATAAAACTGTCTTTCAACTATTTAACCTTTGGTTTAAAAGTATTCGCAAAATCTCAAATTTGATTTACATGGATTGTAAAACCGATACTTAATAATTATTTATACAAGACCCTAGTCTTGTTATGACCCTATACGTGTTTGTTAATTTGTAAATATTGTATTAAATGCAAACGTGCAAAAAATAGAGATTTTTTAGTGTGTTTGTAACACGGCACAGTACATCAAGTGTCATAATATAAGTGGCTGAATACTTGAAAAGAAAAATTTCCAACCACTTATATTATGACACTTGGTATACTGAACCGTGTTCTCGACACATAAAAATTTTCTCGCAAAGGACTTGTAAAACATTAATTCATGTTCGAGGTTGTGAGTTCAATTCTTCTTCCCAATATCGTTCCCATAAGAAAGAAAAAAAAAAGTAAAGAGAAATGCTAAGGGACTCCTTTAACGTAAATTGACTCTCCATGAATTTTTAGCCATCTTACAGTGTAATGTAGGGGTGGGTTCGGTTTGAATCGGTTCAATTTTTTGCCAAAATTGAAACCATACCGAATTTTTGGTTCGGTTCATTTTTTTTTTCGATTCTTGTTCAGTCTGGTTTCAATTCAATTTTGGTTTTTTTTTTTTTTTTAATTTTTTGTCCATTCATGTAGAAATCATGCACAAAACAAACTACAAGTAAAAACCTGCATAAAACCAAATTAAAGTCAAACCTCCAATGGCATGCAACACAAAGTAAATATAACCAAAACAAGTTGGAAGAAATTTCAACCCGAATCAAATTAATGTGATATTTGATCCCAATCCATTGTTTAATATATACTTCAGATATAAAAAAAAAAAAAAATAGCAAATGAGAAACAAAATAGCAAAAACGCAACAAATAAATATGAGAAATATGGAAAACCCCAAAATATGAACAATATGCAAAACCTCAACAAAATAATTAAAAGAAAACCCCATTTTAATTCAGCAAAACCACAATATAAATCACATTCGTTTTGATTTGAAAATTACCTGTGAGAGATCGGAAAATCCGGATTAGAATCTTCCAATTTGGAGGGGTTCCAATTCAAAAGGGGCGAGGGAAAATCATGGTTTGGAAGAAAGAATCCGCTAGGAGGATAGAAGAATATTGGAGAGAGAGTGATTTGGAGGAAGAGAGGAAGAAAGGAGAGAGAGAGAGAGACTGAGAAAGGAAGAAAGCAAAGGAGGGGAGAGAGAGGGTTTGAGAAAACCAAGAGGTGAAATGGGAGTGACGGCTAAGATTTTTAAACTTTAGAAATTTTATAAAGCATTAAAGATTAGAATACCTATAAATAACTTACTCGTACAATTATACAATACAAAATCTACCGTCAGCTTGAAGCAACTATTTCCAACTTGAAGGATAGGGGTTCGAATACACACGTCACCAGGTTTACGTAATAATTTTATAAAATATTAGTCTCTTTGAGAGATTGGGTGGGAGCTAGCTAGTGGGAAAGTTGAAAATTTTAGGTACTTCTGAATTTTCTCAGCTACCAAACACAGATGGGTGCTTGAATTGAACTCCATGTTTCATATTGTGAAAATCTTGATTGAGATGATTTGGAATGCAATCCATACGCTAAGTGGGACGAAGTGGAAAATTGACTTGCTGGGAAGAATTTAGTAACTTTAGTTTTAAAACTTGATATGATTTTCTAATGAAGAGAAAAATGATTCGTGTGAAGTAGTAATAGTGGGGGTGTATATAATATGTCTGTTAGCAGTGAATTACTAAACAAGACTAAAACATGAACTACAACATGAGAAGAATTAACCAGAATTCGTATATGCGATGACTGTAAGAGTATGAGTATGATTCTTACAAGTCTTGAGATAATTGATATTATAAAGAAGTTTAAATCTTATAAGGAATGCAGTCTTGAGAGAAGTTCCAATTGGTTTTGGAAAAGAACTTAGTGTTGGAATTTTATAAGGTCTCATAAGTCTTTATGGTTTGTATAACTTTGAATCCTAGTCCAATTCTGATAGGGAATGGACAGAGGAGTACTATATATATGGTTCAAACCACTGCTCTTGCGAAGACCAGCTTATGCTGTTCTAAGTCCTATTGATTAGAGAAGCCATTGTGATCGTAAAAGAGGAGAAGGTTTCAAGCACAGAGGCTGCAATGGCTTCTTCATCAGGATTGAATAATGCAGGTATGTTTTAAAGGCTTTGGTTCTTAAGTCTGCTCAATGCAAAGTTTAGATTAGTTGTGGTTCAATTGGATGAATTCTTGTTCCTTGGATAAGATGTTACAAACTTGTTCTTACAATGACCAAAAAGAAAAGCATACCTGCAGCAGTTCCAGAACTTGAAGCCATGACGCCAAGCTTTTCAGTGAACCTTCTCTTCTCTTGCAGATGATCAAGAACTCGACTTACAAATAGGTTTAAGTCCCCATATGAGCGTGTGTTCTGTGAGAAGAGAGGCCACTATATATATTTACATATAGTCTTTTCCATAATAGGATTCCCGATTAAAACCCCTATAGGAAACAAATAATTGTTTCCTTGTTCCATAAGAACCGATCGCAATGCTATACAAAATCCTTCTTTGTCAAGGATCAGCATTCCCCTTATTAACAAGACTTTTCTATCAAACTGAATACATATAGCCGGTCCCAAAACTTCTCTATCTCATACTCATATTCTTACAATGTCTTCATTACATGAATTGCGAGAAGATTCAGGATATCATTTCCCTCTCTCTCGTAGACCACAAAAGGGAAGGGTTGGATCAATCAGGGAATAAAGGGCTCGGAGTCCCTCGCAGATCATATGTATCGCATGGCTTTGATGTCCTTGATTGCTGGTGACGTTCCTGGCTTGAATAGAGGGTTGGAGCTTGGATGCTATACGATGGCCTATGCCCTTTATCATTTTCTAATCGGACTTGCTTGATTATACATGGAATTGATTTGCCACTTGGACCTTTTTCTGTGCAGTACCTTATTTTCTCGTGTTTTGCCTTCCCTTACCTCAACAGAACAGGCGGAGCAAGATACAAATAGTGCACGACACTGCAGAAGGTATCTTTTGTTCCCTTGTTCTTTCACGTTATTCATCTGTATTATATTTACAATGGATTTAGTGTGATACCTATATATGTGTGTCTGTGTGTGTTTTGATAGTAGATTGCAATTGAACTATTCTCAGCTATTGTCGGAGATATAACACCATCTGATGGCGTACCGAAAGCAGTGAAGAGCAGAATGGAGCAAGCAGCTTTGGATGAAATGTGCTTAGTTCTTGGTGGAGGGATTAGGGTTGATCATTAATTTTTATCTTCCTGGAACTCTTTTTATATCTGAAAATATTCATTTTCAGAATTCTATTAATTGGAAAAGTTCTTATCTGCAGCTGAAGAGATGAAAGGACTTTGGATGGAGTATGAAAATAATTTGTCCATAGAGTCTAATATTGGGAAAGATTTTGACAAAGTCTGTATATTTAGGCATTTGTATTTAATGTTATATCGACATGCTTCAATATATTAGGCATACAGATGAAATGTCTAATTTAGTTCTTTACTAGAAATTAGGCCCGCGCGTTGACTCAGGAATCAGCTGTTTCAGGCGTAATCGGATGAATAAAACACATTTAAGTTGAATAAATTCAACACAATTATGAACAAACAAAAAGATACACGAGTAAATGAGGTCAATAAGATAAGCAGTTTTGCTTTTATATATATTCAAGTGAGTTGACATATAAACACAGTGTACAATGAGTGGGAAGAAACTGAACGTCTTTGATTAGAAAGAGATGGTTTCCAAAAAAGTTATGTTTCCTTAAGAAATAGAAGAAACATTTAGTTCACACATATAATATGTGTCAAGCAGTGTAGGCAGCCATTTCAACAGGTAATTAAAAATAAAAAGCGTTGAGGACTTGGTCAGGTAGCTAATTTTGTAACCACAACTATTCAAAGGCAAAAATAAGTAGAAGGTTTGTTTCCATACGAAACTGAAGAAATAGAAGCAAGCTGCAGTTTACACATAGTTTGCCCCAGCAGTTAAGACGGCAAAATATATGTCCCGCAGCGTACATACCTCACTTGTGCAACATATGCCTTACACTGGAAAAAACATCAAAAATCGAATTCAAATTTGTAAATCATGGATGGATTTGTTTTACATTTTTATAATCAAATCAAGTGGCAGTGTAGCACGTAAAATTACAAACTTAAAGCAACCGGAGAGAGCAGAAATTAAGATGTAGAGATATCCTCAAACTTACAACATATTGTATGGAAGCTAACCGTAGAGGTTTGTGAAGCAAACTGCGGCATGAGTTGCAATCAATTGAACAAAAACATAGTAGTTTAACTAAAAAATGCATGATGAAATGGATTCATTGTTTTCATGCATGACATAACTCTATATTATTCCATAAGTCAACTTAATATCATTCCAAAAGGTGAAATTAGAATGCTTACTTGTCGTAGAAAGGGCAATGCCACAATCAAGGCATATGGCGAAACTTAGTAACTTGTAGCATTCATTGCATTTGTAGCCGATATGATTTTGCCTGTCTGATGGCATCTGCCAACACAAAAAAGGCCACTAAAGGGATGCCAAGTCTATTTTGATTCTTATGACATGCGATAAATAGAACATATAAATGATGTTTTCCATATCAATAGCATACCAAGAAATGTAAAGGACGCAATACGCGGACCCTCCCTCTCTCTCTCTCTCTCTTGCAAACCCTCCCCGAAACCCTAATTGAACAATGGCAAATGATACCTACCCGGTGACCCACCATCTTGCCCAAAATGGAGAGGACAAAATTGCCCTTTGTAATAGACCATTCCCACCATCGGATTGTAATCTTGGATGGGCAAAAATGTAATTAAATAATTTGAGCCTCACTAAGGGCCGGGCTTCCCAGCCAAAACCAACGCATTTGGGCCTGGCTGAGGGCCGGGCTGCTGACCCAAAACCAACAAAAAGATCAGATTGAAACACTATTCATTTCTACAGTGTCATTTCCAACCTTTCTTTAGACTAAATAAAGTAATGTTGCAACACAAGAAATTTACTCATTCCTACTTGCGTGTGTGCGTGCTGCGTGCTTATATGGGATGACATGAGTTACGCATATAGACGTTTCAGACCTTCCACTATTTCTTCAGATTTCCCTTCATTCAATATGGTTATCCAATTCTGTCCAGGTTGAAATGATTCTGCAAGCGTTGGAATACGAAATGGGTAAAAGTGTTTCATTCTTTTGCTGTAACTTTGTTAGCTTTCTTATCTTCCTCTTTTGATAATTTTTATTCCCAAACAGAACATGGAAAGGTGCTGGATGAGTTCTTCATCTCGACAGCAGGGGGATCGATTTATTTTGATGCTAACTAGAGTAGGAAAATTTGTGATTTCTGCTATTTGTAACTGCTCTTATCTTTTTGTTTGTCTTCTTTTTCCCCATGCAAATTCCGAACCGACCTAGGAAAGAGTTGGGCAGCTGAGATAATTGCCAGAAGAAATTCACGATTAGGCAAGAGTAAAAAATGATATTTCTCACGGCATGGTTCGCAGTCAAGCCTCCTTGTTGAAGTTGGCCGCCACCCTGCTGCACGTTCCTTGTTAACCATTTTTTCGTCTTCTCGCATGAAGGGCAAACAAGGATCTTGTATTCTAGAGCACCCCCAACAGGATTATAGGATCTCCAGTTGCAGCTGTGGAATCAAAGCATACATCCATGGAGGCCCGGGTGAAAGTAAAGGTACGGTAATCTCCAAATATATGAAGCTGCTTCAATCTACCAGCTGAACACCAATAAACACTGTAGTTCTTGTAAACTTTTCTCATTTTTCATTTTTTTGAATTTTCAAATGGTTGGTTTTTCTCCTTCGTATACCGGAAACACATCGATTAGATATGTCCCGGAGTGTATCAAGTTAGAGTAGCCCTGAAAAATGAACTTCTCTTGCAACAAACTTGCTTAATTTTCAGTTAAGTTAGTTTGGTGAGATGGAGGTTGTCAGGTTAGTCTTGTATTGTGGATTTCTGAGTTTAAGTTAGGCGGATTGGGCTTAAAGCCCTTTGTTCTATTTTCTTCAATTTTGGGGCAGACTTTCTAGGAATTCCTGCGCTTAAAGTCAAATGTGACCCAAATCGGTAAATTATCAATTAAAAAGCTTAAGCTCAAGGTTTGGTAATATGGTTTGGTTGACATTTTAACGACCAAATGTTAGAACAACTTTTATAGCATAAATATATCAAGAATGTGGTCTCTTATGCTTATAATACAATACCATTTAGAGAATTTTATATGTGTCTTATAATTGGCACGAAATGTTATATTAAATAGTTAACTGTTTTCATTCAACTCAACCTTGTTACAGAGAAATTTTAATGAGACTTAACAGGATGTAATTGATTTGAGATATTACAACAGACTCATGTAATATCTTAGTTGCAAAGGAGTTCTCCAACTCCTCTATGTCTAGAAAGTTGCACCACATGTGGCATCGTTTCAACAATGAAGCGCAAGAATACGAGGTCGATGCGCGGGGAGTAGACTTTGGGAACCTTCATGTCGTGGAGGGATTTTTCGGTATACCCGGCACACCAAAAAAATTTGGTGTACCCTCACTCATAATGGTGAGGGTGCATCAAAAAAATTTGGTGCACCCTCACTTTTTGTACACCAAAAAAATTTGGTGTACCCGGTACACCTAAAAATTTTCCCATGTCGTGGTCATGGTTGCAACTTGCATGTGTGTTTTCACTGGATTTCGGCTTTTCTTCCCACGATCTTATCACTTGGGCAGAATTGATACTGTGCACGCGCGTGCTTCATATTTCGCGGTTTGCCTTTACTTTTCTTCCCCAAGGCCACGTTGACACCTCCTCCATTCTGAGAAAATTTTCAAAGTGATTAGTTTTTAAGCGACTACAAAAGTACGATATTTATTAAGCAAATCAGAATTCATACAAACTGAAGATAGTGTGCTTAATGGGTTTTGATAAAACCCTTGTCAAGGATTTCAACCTGATCAAAGGAAAAGAGTGTCTCGCACAACATAAAACCTATCCTCAAATGAACAATCAAACTTACAATCCTTCATCGAAAAGAATATCTTGAATCAGATCCACAAAAAAAATGAACCTACTTACCGACTTACCCATTAATCTCATGCAAATTTGATTTAGAAATTCAGTCTAAATAACATTAACCCACATATTAACTTTAAAAAAATAAAGGAGTCATTGAAATTTTAAGCAACAGTAAACACTGAACAATATTTTACATATTAGTAATTTAAATTATGACGAGGAAATTCAAACTAAAATATAAAAGAGAAAACACACTACTTTAATCAATTTACATATACGTGATCATTCTTTGTCGTAGATAAATCACATTTTAGGATTTAGATTTCAGGTCTCAAATGATACGATGGTAGCTTTGAAACCGAGCAATCTCGACGTCAAGATCCACAAACAGCAACCGGTGGAGGAGCTTCACGGGCAGCAGCAGCAGAAAAACGGAAACAGACGGGGCATAATTAGGGCACATGACCTGACCCACCACCTCCTCCACTTTCAAACATTTGACAATTCCGCAGACATCCTCCGTGACAGAGAAAATGCTCCTCCAATTAAATGATAAAATCACAACACAAAATTACTTCTCTTAATCCATGCCGGGCCGGCCCCACCGCCACCAGATTAAACCCGCTATTCAATATATTATATTTCATAGCATCCGATCGCTTGTCCATAAACTAACAGATTACTTTAACCCTGCATGTAGTCTTTCCTTCTAATGTGAACAAAATAAAAGATTATGCTCCGAGATTGTCCTTGTTCCCATCGAGAATATGCATATATGTATATAGGGAGTTTTAACGAATATGTATATTGCTGAGTTGCTGAATTGTTGATTTATAAAAGAGTGATGTTATATATACATATTTTTTATCTTTCACACGTCACATTTCTCAATTTTTAACCTTCAAATTAAATGAATTGATGATGTTCAAAAGACAAATAAACAAAAATATATAAATATATTAAAAAATGTAAATAGCACATTCTTTACAAAATTCTAAATGAATATATATATATATATATAATAAAATAATAAAAAAATAAAGTTGGACTAAGCTGGATGGATTTGGATCATCTCCTGAGCAGGGTCCGAATCCTCCTGACTAGATAACATGGACAGTTGGATTTTAATCCAATGGCTACAATTATTATAACGTTAAAGAAACCCTCTGTTTGTAACCGTTGGATCAAAATAACTGCCCTTATTATCTGGTCAGGAGGATTTGAACCCCTGCTCAGAAGATGATCTAAATCCAAGCTGGATTTGGAGGCATTAAAGAATGTTGTCAAACTCGTGGCTCCAAAAGTAAACTCCAAAAAACTACAGACCACAGGCACATTACAGTGATTATTCTATTTGTTTATAGTATTAAATTGTATTTAAGGACGAAATTAACGTTTTAGGGAGGTGAATATTTTACTAATTTAATTATCTTAATGATAGAATAATTCCATTTTATATGACAGCTTACGTAATAACACACTGCAAAAACTAATACATGTCTCCCATATCTTTTCAAACTTCAAAAAATTTGGGCAGAAAATTTTCCACGGACGTATGATATTGCTCGTGTGAAAATCATTAAAAAATCACAAGGGGAAACAGAATGAAAAGCCAAGATTTTGATAATACTATTTTAAAATATTTTGTTTATATTCAATTAATTGATAGTTATTATAACGTATCAAACTTTATAAAAACAAATTTATGAAATCTAAAAATATTTGAAAGGAAACAAATGGAAAAGGTCCAAAACTCCATAATATTTAAATTGCGCTGACCAAATTGCACAATGCGTTTACGTTGCGTAAAAAGCCAACCACATTAATCTGTCAATAATTATGATTATTTTTTCAACCAAAACAATAAAAGAGAGTTTTAAAAAAAGAAAATACCATATAAATTGTCATCAATAAATAATAATAAGAAAATTTTAACGAAAAAGTCACAATACTGTTTATTTTAATAAAAAATTATATTTTTACACTAAAAATTCAATTATACTACCATTCTTTTTATCTTTTATTTTATAATTTTTATTAGAACTCGAAATTTTCAATAGTCTTTCATTAGTACTGTTTCCTTTCATTAGTAATTACTCTTTCCGAGTCGTTTTCAGTTTTCGCGGAGTACATTTGAGACCCCACAAGCCGTGTGTTGAACTTCCTGTGCAGAGTTGGGAGATAAAGAAGTTTCAAGAGATCAAAGTTTAGGGTTTTTGTTTGGCCATCATTGACGAAGTAAAGGTAAGTCCTTTCCAGATTTTACCATTTGGGTTTTGCTTTTTAGTACCAAGTTGTGATAATATTGCTGCTTCTGCTGCATTTGGTCACTAAAAGTTTGGATTTTTGAGTGGTCACTTAGAGAAAGATTGCTACTTTAATATCTGTGAAATTAGAATTATCTCTCACTCTTTGAAGTTAGTGATCTGAAAAGCCTGTTTGCTGAGTTAGGTTTCTGGGATTTTGATCACAGAAGAATATTTTGATGTTTTGGAGGTGATGGTTGGTGGAGTTTGGTGGTGGGGGAATTTCGGGAATTCCATTTTTTGAAGTTTTTGGAGATGTTGGTTTGACAAAGACTTGAAACTTGTCGCTTGGGTTTTTCTCTAAATTTTGGCTTTTTGTATTGAAAGCTCTGGATATTTGTGAAAGGATTGAAGATTTCGTGATTGATTGAAGGTTGTGGTGTGTGAGTTATATGGTATCCATTACTGGATTTTGGGTCTAGTTAGATGGCAACCACGTCGCCATCTCCAAATTCGTCTCCATCGGCTGTGCCGCCAGCTTCTAATACTACTTTAACATCTCCGTCAACCGCCACACCGACACCGTCTTCTCAGCCGAATTTGGATTCACCAGAGTCCTCTAAGGCAACCACTCAATCTCCGCAACCTGTTGTTTCATCAGCTTCTCCTCCAGCCACATCCTCACCACCTCCAACACAAACACCTCCTCCAACTCCACAATCTGCTTCACCGCCAACCTCGCCGCCACCACCTTCATCCAATGTACCTCCACCAGCTTCTTATTCTTCACCCCCACCATCAACTTCTGGTTCTCCACCCCCACCATCATCAAATCCACCGAAAAGTTCACCTTCTCCGCCACCACCAACATCTGATCCACCTGCAAGTTCACCTCCTCCACCGCAATCTCCCGCACCAGTGAGTTCACCTCCACCTCCACCCTCTTCAAAGCCGCCTGAAACTTCACCGCCACCTGAAAAGTCTCCTCCACCTCCATCAAGCCCCCCCAAAACTTCACCACGACCGTCACCATCAGACCCACCACCGAATTCAGCCCCATCTCCAGCAATTGTGCCACCCATAAGTTCACCTCCACCATCAGCATCAACCCCCCCTGAAAGTTCACCTCCACCACCAGCATCAACTCCCCTTGAAAGATCACCGCCTCCACCAGCATCAATACCTCCCAGAAAAGCACCCCCGCCTCCTAGCCGTACTACTCCAGCCCCACCTGGCTCTCAACCAACCCCTTCACCTGCACCACCCATCATAAGAATGTCACCACCTCCCCCCTCACGGGCTTCTCCACCAGTTCCTTCTCAAATTCCAAGTCCACTAACAAACACTTCCAGTCCGAATGCACCACAAAGTTCAAATTCCAACGGCATTGGTACCGGAGGCATAGTGGCAATTGGTGTAGTGGTAGGGGCAGTAGTGCTTAGCCTCGTTGGATTGATTGTATGGTGCATGAGGAGGCAAAAGAAAAAAGTATCCGGGCTTGAAGGTTATGCTATGCAATCCACTATGGATTCTTCTCCACGATCAGGTACCTTCAATCATACATGACGCAGTTGATTCCTTGTTGTGTTATTATGAATGTGGGATTTTCTGTTTAATCGTATTTCTAAATTTCAATAAGTTCAACATACTATTTTAAGAATATATTTAGCCTCACTCAGATCAGGGTATGGGATAAATTAATCAGCTCATTTAAGCCGTTATATTTAAGAAGGCTTTTGTAACTTGTTTCCAGATTCATCCTTCTTGAAGGCGCATTCTTCAGCTCCCCTTGTTGGAAGCCGTTCTGGCAGTGAGTTCATGAGTCCTCCGCCAGAACAAGCAGGAGTTGGAAATTCAAGACCATGGTTTACTTTTGAAGAACTAGCTAAGGCCACAAATGATTTTTCATCTCAGAATCTTTTGGGCGAAGGCGGATTTGGTTGTGTTTATAAGGGATGCCTACCAGATGGGAGAGAGGTGGCAGTAAAACAACTAAAAATTGGAGGGGGTCAGGGTGAGCGAGAATTCAAGGCTGAAGTTGAGATTATTAGTCGCATACATCACCGCCATTTGGTTTCTCTGGTTGGCTACTGCATCTCTGATAACCGAAGGCTGCTCGTCTATGAATATGTCGCTAACGATAGCCTTTATTTTCATCTTCATGGTATATCTATAACAGAGCTTTTAAGAAACAGTTAGTGATAATGGTTCTGTAATCTCATGTTTTGCACCTCGCAATTTTCAGGAGAAGGTAGGCCAGTTCTGGACTGGGCAACGCGTGTTAAGGTTGCTGCTGGTGCAGCTCGTGGGATCGCTTATCTTCATGAAGACTGTAATTATCTACCCTTAGTTTCTGGATTCTGATAGCTGAATGTTTGGGTTACTATATCCTCATACGATTGTTTTATCGGTTACATAATTTAACTGGAAGTGTTTTGTTGACCAAGTTTGGTTTTATTTGTTTAATGTCAGGTCATCCTCGAATTATTCACAGGGATATAAAGTCGTCAAACATTCTTTTAGATAACAACTTTGAAGCTCGGGTATAGCATGATTTCACTCAGAGCACATTTCAGTACTCCTATATTTTGGTTAGGTTGTAGCTCATGGTTTCCTTCTTTACTTTACAGGTTTCAGATTTTGGACTTGCCAAATTAGCGCTTGATTCAAATACGCATATAAGCACACGTGTGATGGGAACGTTTGGGTATGTCAGCAATCCAGTGTTGGCCCATTTGCTTTCCACTTGTATCAAACCTATTCTTGAGGTTTCTTCTAGATTTTAATTTATACTGTCATCACAAACATACCTTTCATGCCTGATAATGTATGGATTCCGCTTGATTTTCAGATACGTGGCTCCTGAATATGCATCAAGTGGGAAATTGACTGAGAAGTCTGATGTTTACTCTTATGGAGTTGTGCTTCTTGAGTTGATCACTGGACGGAAGCCTGTAGATACATCCCAACCCTTGGGAGATGAGAGTCTAGTTGAATGGGTAAACTTACATCCTCTTTTCATACTGGACATATCATGCTGCAGTGTTTATATGACTTTGCTTCTATTCGATAATAATGTTTTGATATTTCCAGTTGAATATTTTGAATTCCCCAATTTATTGAGTGAGATCTTCTGGCCCTATAGTTTTTAAACAAGGAATGCATTGAAACTCCAGAACCATCTTACAGAAAGAAATCTCAATGCATGAAATCTTTTTAACTGTCTGATTATGCTGTCAATATTTGTCTGGATTCAGGGGGCACAATTTAGTCTCGCCTTAGTTGTGAATCATTTCTTTTTTTTCAAAAGTACGTGGATAAATGCTTAATAAAGATGTGAGACCGTACTTAGGAAATATTTATGTAACAAATTGACGATATGTTTATAGAATGAAATAAAACTGTATAGTTGAGCAACTGAATGTTCTAAGGTCAAACCCAAGCTTTCCTGACAAGAGACGCATTTTACTATCCAGGCTCGGCCGTTGTTGAGTTATGCTCTTGATAATGAGGATTTTGAAGGCGTGGTAGATCCAAGGCTCGAAAAGAATTATGTGGATACTGAAATGTTCAGAATGATCGAGATTGCTGCTGCTTGTGTGCGACATTCTTCTGCTAAGAGATCACGAATGGGACAGGTAATAAGAAGCTGAAATTTTTTTTATAATGTGAATTCATTCACTACACCAGCATAAGCTAACATCATCATTCTCACTGTCCTCAGGTTGTTAGAGCTTTCGATAGTTTTGTTGCTTCCGATATAAACAACGGAATGAGAGTGGGGGAAAGTGAGGCATTTGACTCGGCACAACAATCAGCTGAAATTAGGTTGTTCCGGAGAATGGCATTTGGTAGTCAAAATTACAGTACAGATTTTTTCAGCGAAGACGTATAGTACACATTTGGAGCGTTAAACACTGAACTGAAAAGGGTTTTGCCAGATTGAGCTAGATTTGGATTCGCTCAGCTGGGACCCTGATCTTTCTGCAACTGGAACTGACTGCATCGGATGTATAGAGTGTTCCATCGTTCCTGTAAAGGTCCATTTTTAGCTTCTGCCTATATTATACGTTTATGGACCGCCATTTTTTGCCCCTGTAATTACTTAGCCTATGTATGATGATCTTGTTGCATCCACCAATATTTTTGGTGGTGTTATAAAGGTAATAATTCAATTTTGTTAACCATGGATCCTATTCTTCCCTCTTTTGCTTCCCCTCTTTCACAACTCCATGTTTTGTGATTTATACGCGACAATCTCAGATCGAAAATACGTACCCCTCTTTTTCGAGCTTGTTAAATCAGCCTGCAGGCTGCCCCGTCACCCTCAGAAACGTGGAAATCTTGAGTATAGCCGAGGATATATTCTTACAAGTGTCTCACTCGTCGCGTGCTAAAATATTTGGGGTACAATGTAAACTGGGTTTGCAAATATTAATAAATCTGGAAGTCTTCCCAGAAAGACAGCTCTGTGACAGCTTCTATGGAAATACTTAAAGCTATCAAAGAAATCTTCCACCAAGGAGAAGTAGAAGCCAAGCAACAACAGCTTTTATGTTTCCTTTTCATATCCTAATATTTTAATATACTACAGAACGGGATAAGCTTGTTTTCCGTATTTTAGATTAAATTAGAATATCGCTTGAAAAAAGAAATTCGATTATATTGGATAACCCCTATTGGAAGCTAGAGTTTTTTTTTTTTAATGTTAGACAATGATTGAAGTTATGACTCATGTACAACGCCACATATCATTCCAATTGCTTCACCCTTTCTATTACCTCCCACAAAGGCAAGGAACTTATTCCTTAAACACCACCACCACCGGGGCATGAAGATTTCTTTTAACTGTTTTCTCCACCACCACCACCCCCTTCCTCCCGATTTTCGCAGCCATGGAAGACTGCAACATGATTGCCGCAGACTGCGTCGTGATTTCATGCTGCTGCCAGTGCTTGATCCTCCAAATCACCATCTTCATCTTGTACAAGCTCCCTTGCAAGTTGATCCGAAAGACGAGAGAGTACACCATGAAGAAACTTCAACAGAGAAGGAGAAAGGAGATTATAGTGTTGGATACATGTAAAGACGTTGATTTTGCGAGTGTTGTCGGAGAGTCCATGAGATCATCCATGGAGGCAGGAGGAGGACATAGTTGCAGGCGCTGCATGGAGGAGGTGGAGGAGGTGCTGCAGGAGTTTTCTCAGAGAGGAGAGTTTGGATTTGGAAGCTTTTGGGGTAGGGGAGAATTGGGTTGCTCCCCAAGTCATCATTCACCAAATCATGATCCATTTGATACTAGTTTTGTACAATATCACTTGATTGAAATGGTGGCTCTGTCATCTATTGATCATAAAGCTAGGTAGCTATTCAATCGCAAAAAATCTTACCTGCAACATGTTTTGTATGTTCCTCATTTCTCTGCATTTCTAGTCACGTAACATGTCTTATCACATAATTAGTCGCTTGACAACAAATGTAAAGTGACGGGTATAATCGAAACGGGTTTTAGTAGCCATTGATCAAAATATTGTGGCTCATTCATTTCGTTTTATGATGAAAATGTATGAAATTCAAATGGAACAAACGTTGAAGAAGGTTATGCATATATATGACATCACTTGTTATATATCAAAGGCTTAGATTCTTAAACCTTATCTTAGATCTCGAATATAATGACATCATGCTTATAAATGTCAAATAATTCTTTATTGTCACGCGTCTACACGACCAAACTATGTCAACTATGTAAATATGTTGTCATTGAAGCTCTGCATATTCTAAGAAAATGCCACTTACACATAGATTCCATTCCGCACATTGAATCTCAAATGTTCTTCACCTAATTATGTTAGCTCCAATCATGCGATGGTGACCAAAAGAGTCTGAAATGATTTTATGAATCTTTTCAATCTCTAAAAAAATGGATTGTCGTGGCGAAACCACCAACTGATTCTCTTTTTTAAAGAAGGAAGAAAAATGATTGAACACTCATCACAGCTCGGCCATGTTCTTGATAAAAGCAAAACAGAAGTTGTTAATTAATCAATTAATGAATCCGGCATAATCGAAAGTTTATTTTAGTTAACATTGGACTAAACACGTTAGAATAAGTTTAACTTTTATGGGAATTGAGATCAAACTTGAGTGCATAAAAGCAAATGTATCATCTTAACCAACTGACTTAACTCACATATGTCAGCGCGTTGAATTTATTTCAAAACTTAAACAGACCCAAATCAACACTCTATTACCAAAATAGAAAACACATGTTTAAGTCATAAATATGGAAAGATTTTTCATTGTGCTGGAATACAGACTAAATATACAAGTGTCATGATACAATTAGTAGAAATATTTTTTTCAAGTTTTTAATCAACTGTATCCTAATATTTTATGTACCAAAAAATATTCTCGATACTCTTGAAAAATTTCTCCTAAATATAGTCAATCAACAAACAACCCCTAAGTAGCATCCACCCAATATATAACCTCGTACTCGTAGCAAAAAATTGATCAACTCTTAGCAAAAACGCGTTTTCAGTTTTTAAACTTTTAATCCAAACACAAGAAAAATTAAAACTCAAAAAACCAAAAAAAACCCAAAAACACAAACCAATCAGCGCCCCACACAAAAAACCCCAAATTAAACTCCCAAAAACTCACAAAATTCAAATCGTCTGGATCTATCGATCCCTTCCTTTTTCTTCTTCTTCTTCTTCTTCTCGGCCGCCATTATACTAATGATGGCCGCGCTCGGATCCGATCAGCTGAAGCAGCTAAAGGACATCTTCATGCGATTCGACATGGACTCCGACGGCAGCCTCACCCAGCTCGAACTCGCCGCCCTCCTCCGCTCCCTCGGCCTCAAGCCCACCGGCGACCAGCTCCACGTCCTCCTCTCCAACATCGACGCCAACGGCAACGGCGCCATCGAGTTCGACGAGCTCGTCACCGCCATCCTCCCCGACATGAACGAGGAGATTTTGATCAACCAGGAGCAGCTCATGGAGGTCTTCCGGTCATTCGACCGCGACGGCAACGGCTACATCACCGCCGCCGAGCTCGCCGGATCCATGGCCAAAATGGGCCACCCCTTGACGTACCGGGAGCTCTCCGATATGATGAGGGAGGCCGACACGAACGGCGACGGCGTCATTAGCTTCAACGAATTCGCGACGATCATGTCTCGGTCCGCCACTGATTTTCTCGGGATTTGATAGGGTGTGGCGCGGGTATGATCGGATCTGCATGGTTTGACTTTCCTCGCTGACTTTTATTTTTATTAATTTTTTGTTTTTCGTGTGTGGGATTTTGTGGGCATGTCTTTGATTTCTTGTGGATGAAGGAAAGAAGAAGGAAGAGGATCTGCACAGACAATCATATACATTGAGACATGCTCTCAAGGCCCTCTTAGTTAATTAAGATCAGAATTACCAACTAATTATGAACACATCTTGTAAATTTTTTTGTATAAATAATAATTTGTGTTATTAGAAACGTAGAATTTATTGTTAATCTGCATGTTATTCTTAATGTCAGAATATGATTTGGTAATTCCACGTGAACCTGGTTTCATGCACGGTGAGAGAGATTTGAGAATTTGCATGGTGAGATAGATTCGAGAATCTGTCTTGTAATCGGTTGTATATTCTGTGAGAAGTAAACAGACAGACATATAACTAGAGATAGCTAAGAATCTCTTCATGCCCGGACATTAGAGTACGAATTTACTTTTTGAAGAAAAGGAAAAGGAGAAAATGGAAAATTTTGGTTTAAAACACATAATGGCATTGGATTTTCTTTAATGTTCAAACCAGAGATCGCAAAACAAGATATTTTTCATGCTTAATTCTCACTGCACAAACAGTTTAACAACAACGAAGTCTTATTTCATTAAATGAGATCGGCTATATGAATTCTAGAACCATCACTGCACTTGGTTTTGCGTCAAGTCTTCTATTAGCTTCAAGTACCTTATGTCGTTTCTTGGAGTCTCTTTCAAGCTTTCTTGGGTCGTCCTCTAACCCTTTTGCCATAAGTCTCTACCTCATAATCGCATCTTCTAACTAGAACATCGGTAAGTCTTCGGTTCACAAATAATTCGTTGTTAAAAAATTAATAGCTCGCTTGATAACCATTTCGTTTCAGTTTTTTGTTTTTATTTTCGCTATCAAGAAAAGGAAAAGGGAGAATTCATGAGAACAAGAACAGAAATGCAAGAAGAAAACACAAGTATTGAACCCCGCGATAAATTATTTCACTATGTATTACATACATTGGCCAATGACTCAAAATTTACAATCTCTAAATCTAACAGAGCCGAAAGCTGCTTCTGTACAGAGTCATCTGGCTACAGGGGCCAACTCCTAAGAACAAATTGAACCAAAAAAATCTTCTTGTATAACATATATGCAACCCATCGATGTACAAAACGCAGCGTTTTTCAAAACTTGGGAGAGACTGAAGCTGTATCCTATGAGACCTACTATACCAAAGAACAAACTTACAAAGCTTATCTACGGTTACGATGTCTGTCTTTTACACGGTTGGCCCTCGCTGCTAATCGCGCCGTGAAACCAACAGTCTGCGGCCGCAAAGATCTCTGCCGCACCATGTCACAAAATTCGGGATCATTTGATGTGCCCTCGTAGCGTATCCACTGTATCATTCTATGGTACATTGGGAAGAACCGCATTTGAATGGCTGAGTATGTGAAGTATGGGATTAGAGCGGCGATTGGCACGAAGATTGTGAGGAGCCAGAACGAAGGGGCGGGGGCCAGGGCTTCAATGAAGATTTTGTAGGCAGTGGTGGAGAATGTGGGTGACATGGCGCCGTACGCCAAGAGAAAGAGGTACCATAGTGCAATTGAACCCCAGATGAAGAGGTGCTGTATTAAGGTGAAGTAACTGATGGCAAGTGCCATCTGCAAGTTCACAACCCAAACTGTGCACGTGTACATCGTTGCCCCGAGAATATCCATTCCGGCAGTTTTGCCCTCATTGTTGAAGGCCTGCTGATTTAGCGCTTCCGTGCAGAAGAAGAAAATAATCACGGCAGTTGTAAACCCATTCAACATCCATCCGAATATTCTACGCCAGCTGAAGAGAACATTTTGCACCCCTTCTTGGTATAATAGAGGAAACTGTCACACAAAACAGGATAAACAATTAATACCAAAAGTTTCAAAACAAGGCTTGAAATTAAGTATGTTAATCCGAACAGAATTTCACATGTAACCCAGTGAGCTTACCTTGAGACAAAACCGCGCAGATACATCCTGGTCGAGAACTCCCAAAGCAACCACCGGAAGTGATGAGAAGAATACATTATAAAGAGACAAAAACCAGTCGTTGTATGCAGGCTGTCCAGAAAAGGATGTGTTTGCCTCGTATAAGAAGAGAGTGAAACCAAATGCGATGTTCTTGTAGAAGAAGTAGCAAATCTGCGAGGACAAATTTGCACACGTGAGTTTTAGCCTGTGATAATTTAAATTTTTTTCGCCACATTGTCAAAGATTCTGGTCTCAAGTTTGTTTCATAGAATATGACATGCATACCATTGATGAGATCCTCCTGTAACACCAATGCCCATGGACAAGCAGGAGACGCTCCAAGTATCGAAATTGTGCAATCGCAATATCACTTGACATGACCGCCTGTGAAAAAATAAGCATGAAAAGTTCATGAGAACAAAAGTTAAGAGGAAAATACAGTGAAACAAGAATTAATTTCGGTAAAACAATTGGAAGAATCTGTACAATACCTGCATTCCTTCAACACCACTAATTCCAACCCCGATATCTGCTTCTTGGAGCATGCCCACGTCATTGGCTCCATCACCGATCGCTAGTGTTGTTTTCCCAGTTCCAGATTTTACCAGTCTAGTGACCTATTTTACATTTCACCATTGAAAACAAATTAATTCTTTTCTGAGCATGATATAAGAACAAAACTGCAAAAGAAAAAAATCCTTATGTTATAATTTGTCAGCATACCAGTGCCTTCTGTTTAGGTGATGAACGGCAGCAAATAACAGATGCACAGCCAATTGCAAGATTTAAAAACAAGTTCTTTATATCATCCTCCAAAGCGTAAGCAAGCGATTTTCCATCAATGATCAATGCAAATGCCTCAGAGTTCCCGCTCGATGCTTTAAGCTGAGCCTTTCCCCTATTTATCTGATCGAGAACACTTCCTTTTGACGCCTAATGATGAATCAGCAAATATCGTATCAGCATCATTACTAAGGTACTATTATATTGTTGAAGTAAACTGTTTTACTTCCTTGAGTATTAAGCTACAGATTCCGTTTTCGATACACAAACAAATTCAACTATATGTATATAGTTTCACCTTGGCGATGGCCTCCTTTTCTCCTGCCTTTTCCAACGCTTTAATCTCCGGAGACTCCAAAGTGATTACAATTTGCTTCATTCCTTGTCTAAGCAAGCTACATGCAAACCCAATATTGATGGCAGTCTCCATCTTATCTCCAGTCAAAACCCAAATCTTAATTCCTGCTTGGGCAAGCTTGTCAATGCAGTCAGGAACCTAACCAAAAAAGAAAGAAAGAACATTAATTTAAAATCTGATATCGTCTATAAAGAAACTTCCATGTTACCCCATCAATATATGACTACATACCCCATTTTGTAGTTTGTCCTCAACAGCAGTTGCACCAAGAAGAATTAGATCTCTCTCAATCTTTTCTGTTACTTCATCAATCACTGTTTCACGATCTGCACTAATTGAATTCTTGGCCTTGATAAAATTTTCATTGAACTCTTTGTATTCGTCTTCCTCAAGTACACGATAAGCAAGTATCAAGGTCCTCAGCCCTGCATCAGCATACTCATTTAGATGATCCATGGTTTCTTCTTCAAAATCCGAACCATTTTTGGCAAGCCTTTCAAGCATAACACTGAACAGAAAAGAAGTTATGCTGGTTAGAAAAACAGTTTTAAATTTGCCGTAAGAAGTAAGAAAAGATTCAAGTTTAAGGCAGCAAGCACTTACTTGTCGGCACCTTTGGAAAGTAATAATATTTTTCCTTCCTCACTTCTGACAATCACAGACATTCGCTTCCTTGTGCTGTTAAACTCTAAAACATTGAGAAGGCTATACGTCCTGCAAAAATGACTTCACTCAATGAGTATACTCTCTACATTACTTACTAAGAGTACCAGCACAGATTTAAAAGTCCTAATAATCAGAAAAACAATGCAATATACGAACCTCTCAACTTTTTTGCCAGACACTGGATCCAACTCTCGCAGTGATATGGTTGTTTGCGTTCTTTTGTAGAATTCAAAACCAAGTTCTCTTGCTGCAATCACAAATGCTGCTTCATCAGGAGATTCAGCCTCATATGAAACATTCCCAGTAGCTTCATCAACTTCCGGAATTGCTGTATGACAGATTGCTAATAAACTGAAAAACTTCTGGATGTATTCTGCATTAGGCTCATTAACCCAGTTTCCATTCATGACCCTTTTGTCTGTAAAATTAAAGCCTTTGATGGGTGCCTTTGTTTCAGTAGAGTCCTTGAGATTGTCCCCTCCACTTAGTTGATGAACCAATGGTGAACCATTTCGTCGACCCATAGCCCTCTCAACCTCAGTAAAGCCTCGGCCATAAGCTGTCCCGGCCACAGAACACTTAATGAACTCCATTGAATTGCAGGTCAAAGTTCCCGTCTTATCAGAGAGAATTGTGTCGACTTGGCCAAGTTCCTCGTTCAAGTTTGAGGTACGGGCGTGTGCTGGTTTGTCAGCCTCTTCATAGTACATGTGAACATCTCGATTGATGAAGATGCTCTGAAGAACTTTGACAATTTCTATGGACACATACAAGGAGATGGGGATAAAGTTGCCATACAACATTAGGGCAGTCAAAAAGTGGTAAATTGCTGCATACGGAGCTCTTTTAGCATCAAAGAAAATTCTTGAATTATCTGGCCTGAGATACCACCTTTTCATGGTCCCTTTGTTTAGGTCATCTTTCGTTGCAATCCCAAAGAAAATGGACCCAACAAATGCCATGATAAATAAAACACAGAACAAGAAGTAGATAATTTTATCCATCTTCTTCTCAACTCTGCTTCTTTTTGAAGGAGGGGCGGTAGAATTTTGAATAACCTTTGTGTCAGGACCAGTGAAGATAACAGCTCCATATACGTAGTCTGTATTTCTGAGTTTAGAGTCTCTCAGGAGAAGCTGTTGAGGAGAGACAGGAAATTGTTCATTGTCGAACTCCATAGTTCCAACAAATGAGTACAAATTTGCATTCGGGTCTTCACATTTAACAATGGCTTTAAAATCGTTGAAGTTAGAATCCTCCTGCAAGGATGAAGTTACTTCCAACGCTTGTTTTAACTTTAAATTTGTCTCCCCATCAAGGTTCATGGTCTCAACATAGCAAATTGCATCGTCAAAACTGGATGAAAGCAAGAGGAGGTCTGTCGGAAAGAATTCATCCTTTTCTACCTTCACTATA